CAGATGTTTTACACAAAGACAAAATGCAAAGCTTATCATTTGACTCAGCAGCTGAGCATGGACACTGCATGGACCGATGAAAGGCTTAAATAACTAATACAGACACTACCCCGAAGTAATACTATCGTAGTTCCGGGGTAAGATAAGGTCTCCACGAATTGTGGGAAAGAATTAGTAAATTTGGGCACTTACTTTCCCGGGCACAAAATCGTGGTCAGTGCATAAGCATACTTCTCCTCACAATCGCACTTATTATAAATATTAAAATTGTGATAAAATTTACTATATACAATATATTTTCTAATAGCTCAACGTAAACACTTTCGGTGAATCATTTTTGTGATATTAAATGTTAAATTTTTTTGATGTTCATTAAGTTGTTCATCAGCTGTATTTTTGCTATATTTTTCTTCGAAATCGTTTTTATAGCTTACATGTCTATTTACTAGTTATAAGTTTACATGTCTCCTATAGAATGTTTATTTTATATGTTATATAAAATAATTTTATAAGAAGAGGTTTTCGAACACAAGTGAAACAACAACAAAAATTTATTTTTTAAATTATTTTAATTAATTGAATTTTTGGCTGACCATACAGCTGTTTCGAGTATTGCCAAATACCCTTCACCACACAAAATAATTTTATAAATATAAAACATATAAGTTAAATTATTATTTTATATTTATATATGAATTTTACATTTATTCGCTTTATAACAAAATATAGATTATAGTAATAATCATTTATAATTAAAGTATAAATTATCAGTATAATTAATTATTATTAGAGGTCAAGTTTCAGCTGTATAGACTAGAATAGATCTACATATTGTTTACAGTTTTGTATGTTATTTTGCTTATACAAGCCTTAGATACATTTTAATATGGGGATTTGGGGATTATTCTTCTAGAATTTTTAGAAAACCATAATAATAAAATTCAAATGATAAGGCCTTTGTTTACAAAAAACTATGCCTTAGGAAAATAATGTGCAATAACTTATTGATGAAATACCAACTTATAACATAAACATATCTCAAAAACCATGTGTAGCTAATTACCTAAACTTGGTTATTCATTTGGTACATGATCTATCTATGCATAATTAATCTTTCATTTAACCTTAGTACATTGACTCCACTTCATGAGTAATTTTTGGCAGTTTACTTAAAAAATATTTATTATTTTTTAAAAAATATTTATTTTTTTTAAAAAATATGTCAGTCAAATTCAATGTTTTTTTAAGTTATTTATTTAAGAAAAAATCTATACATATACATATATATAATATACAAATACCAAAAAAAAAAAAATAAAACCAATTTAACCAATTCTCAGTACTTCATTTAGATGCGGAAATTAGCATCGAGCATATGTGTTAATTATGGTAAATTAATTTGTTTATAATTTTGACAAACTGATTTAAAAGATGACGAATTATAGTTCGCAAATTGTATACTTTTAAAAAATTTAAAAACATTTAAAAATATTCATGACATAATTAAAAAATTTTTTTATTTTTCAAATTGTAATTAAAATCTTATCAAATTTAAGCAAAAAATTCCGCAGTTATGGTACTGTAAAAAATGTTGAGCTCTCCAACAAATTGTGACGCTATTGTGACAGTAACTGATATGATTTTATGGTTAGGTGGGTAAGAGAATAATTAGATATAATAATGCTTGATACATTTTTATAATATGAAAAATTTAAAATATTTTATCAGCTTAAGCCTATAGAAGTGATAATTTGTTATCTGATATGCAATAAGAATTTTATTAATTAGTTATTTTTCAACTGAAAAGTATTTATAAACTTAATTAGTTCATGATTGTAGCACTGAAACTATTGTAAATGTATGACATCCCTGTCTTAAATTTGTGTGTATGATAATTTTTTATCTGCTACGCAATAAGATTTTCATTAACTATTATCTAGAAAGAGTTTATGAACTTAATGAGTTCATGATTGTAGCAGTGAAAGTATTAGAAATGTTTAACATCCTTGTCTTGCATTTCTTA